CTTGTAATTGATTTGTCCTTTAGAACTTTAAGTTCTAGTTTCTCAGCTCCAATGTTAATAAAGTTCTCTTGATCTGGCAAAAGATCAATGCAGACACACTTGGCATAAAGATCAACTCACTTGGAAACTCCATTATTTTGACCACTCTGTTTTTAGTTTGTCTTCTTCAGGAGAAATCTAGATCATTAGATCAGCCCCAAGCAATCATCAGATTAGATTTCTGGGCTTATTTGTCTGCTTGTGGATCTGCCCTAGGCCATCATGAGGGTGGGGTGGTAACACGGTAGAACATATTTCTCTGAGATGAATGGTGATTTACTTTCCAACTTCTTTAATTCAATTTAGGGCTGCTCTGACCAGTCACTTTGAGTTATGCATGTGTAATAGAATCACAGATTTCAATGCAGTGGATCAATGCTTTAATGACAGAACAAAATAACATCTTCATTATATATCCACATACAATACCCAATACAACATTTCCCAGCCAACAGTGAAAATAGGAGAGAAAAGGGTTGTAAGTATCCAAGGTAATGTAGAACCTTTAAGGGAGCCATGATCATTCAGTCTTTGCAACTGATGCTGGAGAATTGAGGAATCAAGATAGGAACGAACAGTTGTCCTGTAGGTTCCATTAATTAGTAATAATGGAACAGCTGCTGCTCGCCGTGCTACTGAGAAGGCCATAGCTAAAGCAGGATCTTCTGAAAGAGGCAACCTGCAAATTTACAAACACCAAAACAATTTGAAATTAACATGCTGATCTGAAAAAAGCAAATTACTCTTTTCCTTTCTCTTCACCTCTTTCTTCTTAAATAATAAGAAATAAAACTAAAAAAAGCCCCATCAAGGAACAAATAAATGTGGAAAATAATCTCATTTTACCAAGTTGAACTGGCTAAAGAAAATTCAAAAATATTAGAATAAGAGGATATGTTAATGAAATGAAGAACACATACATGTGTGGACTAAACATAACTTTCTGACCAGGTACCAATAAAGATGAAAGACCATCCATGAGAGATTTCATATCTACAGGTATTTGTTTAATGTGCCCAAATTTCTGCACCCAAACCACCACAATAAACACCACTTTCACATATACTGCAAGCCCCTTCAAACCTTTAAAAAAGAAAAGCATACCTCCTGTGTAATAAAAAATAACTGAAAGGATATTTTTTCATAGTAATGGTATGCCCTATCTGCATTTGAAGGTGCTATAATGTGCCTCAAAGAACCCCACAATGTAGCCCCTAAATGAGCAAGGAAGGTATCGCGTGCAACTGTGTAGTTCTGGAACACCTGTACATGAATAGTGGTGTTATTCCAGAAGGGCAGAGTAATTTTTTTGATTATACCACTTTGTTGATCATATCAAAATGTACTAAGTGGAATCCGTGAAATACTTATGTAACAAAACAATGTGATATTTCTCAAAAAAAATTAAAAAAAAAACGATAGATGTTAGTGCCATGAAACAACTTATTGGCAACTCAAAAGAGCACTTCAGAAAACCACATGCTCACAACTCCTGGGTCAATCTAAAACCTGGTAAATCCCCTTTGAATGCTTTCTACTTGGAGTATTGGTCCAAAATTCTTGACAACAAAATTTAATTTTGAACAGGAGCATAATGGCAAGATTGACCAAATAAAAAATAACGATGATGAAAACGAAAAAAAAAAAAAGGTAGTGTCATACCTCATAGGTATCACTGAACAAATTCCAGCTTTCCATTCTTTTTAATGCCTCCGCAGCTTTTTTCCTGTGGTTTTCATCATATTCCTCCCCCTCAAAGGACCGTAGTTCAGTTTTCAAATCCCGCATCCTTTCATCTAGTTCTAGAATCATCATAATTTAAGTAAATAATATCACCAGCCAATTTTTACAAAGAAAATGGATAAAACAGACAGTTTTACAGACCAAATTGACAATGTCAGATTAACATCAGCACATAGGTTTTGCAATTTGATAATTACTCTATGCATATAAAACGTTAGTTGGAATCTATAAAACAAAAAAAGGAAAATAGAGGAAAAAATAAAGGAGGGAACCCACAGAGAAGAATTTTTTCTTTGTTGCTTCTTAATACATGTCGCTGAAAGCCTACTACTGCTTGGAGGGGTTCTTGCTTCAGATGCCTTCCTCATCCACCCAATAACCATTCATGATTTCCCCCTCCATCTCAACTCTAGGAAAACCCAGCACATCAACCCAATTCCCTGCAAGAAATCCAAAATCTCAGCCCAAATTGAGCCTCTCCTAGGCCAGATATGCCTGAATATGCATATCTGGTGTGGTAAAATACGAGGGTGATGGGAGAAGTGTGAAGCTTTAGAAAGATGTATGGTGTGGTAAAAGTCCATTCAAATAGGTTTGACCTGAATTGTATGGAATCGCTAGAAACAGAGTAGCGTTAGTGGCAGATTGCATTTAAGTTTTCAATGACCAGGTGATTTGGTTTCCATGTTTGAGAAGGAACTTGAACGATTGGGAGATTGATAGATGGGCAGATTTATTGAACTCAATTAACTTGGTGCAGCCAAATCCATTGAGCCCTGATGCCAGAGTATCGAGGTGGGATAGGTGTGGAACATTGATCATTCCTAATTTGACTGCTGTACATTGGAAAAGTCTCACTAGTGACAGCCTGATCAAAAAGAGGCTTGCAAATCAGTTGTGAACTTGTGATAGTATGGATCAGAAGTGGAGTCTGCAGACCACAAGCCTGTGCATTGTAGAGTGGCTTATTCATGTTGATCAAAATGTCTAAATCTCTTCAGGATAGTGGGATGTTTTCCGGACCGATTGGAATCTTTGTTGGTAGGCTGGAATTTGAGTGGTCTATCAAAACAAGGGGAAGGTGGTATGGAGTAGCATCCTAGCAATAGCTATTTAGAACATCTGGAGGGAAAGAAACTCGTTCATATTCAGGAATTTGACATACAATGAGGAGAAAATTCTGCCCAAGATAGCTCATACTTTAATGTCTTGGAACTCCGGTCACAGATTTCTTTTGGTGTGGGGCACAACTCTACTTTCCTTAATGAAAATGCATACAGTTAGTAATTCATTGAGCAAAGCACCTAAAAGAAGCACCATGGAAATACAGACATGCATTTAGAGAGATCTATGTGATTGCAAAGAACTTGAATACAAGCTTCAGCTGGGTGAGAAGAACTGTGATGGAAGTAGTGAGGAAATCCAGGTCCATCAGGTGTAGGAGGGGCTTTCAGAGATGAGTATGGGAAGGTGCTCACCATATTCAGGTCCCACTGGGGTTGGAGACTCTCTTAAAGCTGATGTCTATGCAGTACTGGAGGGTATAAGGAAGTCTAAGGAACTGAATATACAAAAGTTAGTCATTGAAGGGGACTCAAAGCTGGTCTTAAGTTGGTTACAAGAAGATAGTGGACTTTGGAAATTTGCTAATGAGAGGAGGGAAATTAAGGGGGTTTTCTGTAGTGTGGTCTGTGTGGATGAGAAATTGGTGGGTGTGGACTGGTCCACACCACACCCTGTGGCAGGGACCAATCCACACCACACCACAGTCCACAGCTGTTCTGAACAGTGAACAAACTGTGTGAACTGGACCAGTCCACACCCACAGTGGCGTTTTGTAGACGTGGTCCACACCACACTTTATGATTCCATGTATCTCATACATTTATGAATGATCTACACCAACATTTTAAAAAACAACCCGGAAACGGAACCGTTCTGGCCACCGGTTTCCAGGTCAACGGTCTGACCGTCCGGTTCAAATGGATTGCCCGTTCTGACAAACAAATTGAAAAATAAAAAAAATAATTAAAAACAAAAACGGTCAAAAGCCATTGAACGGATCAATGGTTTAACCGCCCGGGTCAATGGGTTGACTTTTTCAACAGTTTTTGGCCAAAAACTGGGTTTGGGGTAAAACGGAACCGCTTGCTTGGACGGTTCCCGGGCCGAACGGTCCAACCGTCCAGTTCAATGGCGGTTCGAAAACCTTGATCTACACAGTAAAATAATTAATATGTTACTGACAAAAATATTAAAATGTGAAATAGGCAATTGGGTTTCAGCCTTTCAGAGAGAGTGTGAAGCAGGGAATCAAAAATAGTGTGGACAGGCCCTAACCACGAGTTTTTGCCTTGGGTGAGAAATTGGGGTGTGGACGGGACCAGTCCACAAGCCAGTCGAACGGGTGTTCATCGGTCCCATCCACAAGATAGACACGGTGCCGAACACTGCCTAAATGGCTAACTAGAGGACTCGAAATCAAGTTTCATTGGGTCAAGAGAACAGCAAATGCATTTGCTGATGCTATGGCAACGCAGGGGGTTGGAAGGGATCAAATGGTTTGGGCTGCTCAGTAACTTTTTTTATTCTTTGTTATCTTCCTGTAGAGAGTAAAGCCTGTTTATCTCTCTCTGGAGGTAGCAGATACATTAGCTAAACAGGGAGTAAATAGGCAAAGTATTTTCTGGGCATACTTGTAATTGGGTACTGATGAGTATTGGATTTTCCAACAGATGTTTTAAGTTTAAATCTTTAATTATTAATGAAATCCTTTTGCTGATCAAAAAAAATGAAAATGCGTACACATTTACATATATAGGACCATATACTTGTATATCCCATTGTACATAATCTCTTTGTACAAGGGCTTTTATTCAATCAATATATTTTACCCTTTTGGGGAAAAAATATAATATATCTATAAACTCCCCTCTAGGTCCAATCTAAAGAGTAACCCTCATAACTACACAGGTTGATTCTTTTTAGAGTAACCCTCATATCTATAAACTCCTCCAAAAGATCTTCCCCCACTTAGGAGAAATAGAAAAGAAGCAAATCCAAAATAACGTCAGAAAATCGGGCTATTGCTTCCTACAATGAGCCAGAGAAAGATAGGAAATAGTCCCAATACAAGAAGAAATGAGTTAAATGACTTTGATATTGTATATCAGGAATAAAATGAGTAAACATTTCTGAGACTTGAACCTATAACTCTTTAGTAAATATACAACTTTAAACCATCTTAAGTAATAGATACAATATATGTAGATATAAGCATGAATACCAAAATATTATCAGACTGGACCAGATAGGGATGCATCCATATTTGATCCTACTATAAAAAAATCGAATTCAGATAAACCTTAACCAAATCAGATTGGGATTCAAATTCAGACAAATGGATACCATATATCTAGCCTTCATTATAAATCAATATCAACACTAAAACTTGGCTGAAACTGCTAGGCTTGTGTGCCATGCAATCTTGAAGTTGAAACATTCATGGTGTCATAAAGATTACATGATTTCTTTTAACTTCTTTCTTTCCTCATGGAATTTAATTCAAGTGTAGAAAATAATGGTTTCTAATCTAACAAGAAATTATGCTATCGATTAAGCATTCAAATATCACTGAGCCCACACATGATGGTTCCTTCTTAAATGAAGAACAACAAAAGAAATACAAAAACACTGAGTGACACATTTTTTACACCCAAGTAACACCTGGTACTTTACTATTAACACACAGCCAGCAAAGGGTGTTCAGCAATTTACGTAGGAAAAGAGGGTAGTAGTTTGCAATCTGATTACCAAAACACCCATCAATGCTTATTAACAATAACACATGCACACACACCCATCTTTCGCCGTTCATTTATTTGTTTGTTAAATTTTACTTTGATAGATATCAAAATGTATTTAAGTTTAACGACTCAGAACCGCATGTATGGAAACAATGACCTGAAAAATCCACCATCATACTAATGGTATACCACTCATTGTCAAGTGAACATTTTCACATGCCATTGAGCAAGTAAGCAAACTTCCAAGCAGGTAGAAATCTCTTCAAAAGAAAAATAAGATTACCATCACAAAGAGCAAGCTTAGACTTTCTTCCTTTGCAATGTTTAAATGCAAAAAGCTCATATATGTCAATTTCTGCCAGAAGGATATCAATGGCCTGATGATCTTGCTGCAACATTTAAAGTCGGTAAGAAGGAATTTATCAGTTAAGTGAAATAAAAAAAAATGCAATCAACAAAAGAAAGGGAAAAAAATGCATTGACCTAAACTAGCTCCTTGCAAAAGATTAGGTATCCACGAAGAAGACCAGAACAACATCTGTTACCTCCAAGTTCTTTTCAATATACAAGCGAGACTTTAACTTGTAAAAGCTACTCAAGATCCTGTAGATAAGCATCTCTGTATGTGTACATATCTACAATACTACTTTAAAAGTACAAATGAGAGTGTGGAATTTTTGTGGACTAAAGTATTCCCCTCTGGTTACAATAATCCCTTAAGGTGAACAGCGCTGTTATCTCTTGATGGAAGGGCACAAATGTCTATTTTGCCCCTTTTTTTCAAATTTTCAAAACATGACCAAAAAAATCCATAGCATCCGTATCAGAATATAGTGGTGTGTGAACACTGGAGGGAAGTAATCACAGGAACAATGGGTACAGCAGTAGGGTTAGTTATGTTATGTGTATCCATTCAGTATCTTAATCTCTTCAATTCACAGTGCAGCAAGGTTGGCCACTGAGGGGAGGAGCAGAAGGCCAATCTAGGCAAATTGAATCAGTTAGTTATGTCATTTTTCAGTAACAAATGGGGATCCCCCATCTGTCCCTTGTCTGTCAGTGTCTAACAGAGTTTCGGTGCTTTTCTTTCTTCATCTCCTTCTCTATCAGTTGCCGCCACCCTGTCACATAAGGTTTGGGGCTTCTGATAATGGGTGATGCACACATTCTGTTGGCTTCAATTTCTGCCATCCTCTACAATAATAGTCTTTAGATTATCCACACTCCATCAAGTATTTTTTTCCTAGTGCAGTTAGATTATCTTCTATGCACCTGCCATTTGTTTGATGCATATGGGGCATAAAACAAAGTTTTTTTTTTTTTTGCTGTAAAAGACTCCATTTCAACCCTATGTTCTACCCTCACTTTTATGGCGACACCTTGTTTTCCGCTTTATTACACCGAAATAAATCCATCAAAAGGGGTGGAAATATAGCCAAATTGAAATCTCATGAAGTAAGTTATTTGGATGTCTATGTTATTATTGGAAAAAACAGTTACACGTAACACATTTTGAAGTCTGCAATGTAGGGCACTGGAGTGTGAACACTGGCGGCCAACCCTGCTGAGTGTGATTGTCTCTGACCTTTTAACCTTTTGATGATCCTTCACATACAAGACATGGGTACGGCATCCAAAGCTGGATGAGGGGGAGGAAGTATGGGTACGACATCCAAAGTTGAGACATACGGGTATGGGATTGATCAGTTCTATACAGAAATAGCTATTTAGGAGAGTGGTGTAATAGGCAAAGCCATAGCACCGGAGTGTGGATATGCTTTTGGCTTTCCCCTAAGATGGTGAAGAAGAGGGGGCAAAATTGGGTTCTTAAAATATTATAACAATCACATGCTATAACATGTGAATGGAATGTAATGGCATGCTAACAGAAGGCAGTGTTTGTCCTGTTGTCAGAAATCTTGAGGGTAGTTTAAGGGATTATTGAAACCAAACAGGAATACATAGTCCATTTTGCAAAGCCTAGGGTACTTAAAGTATGTGAATTTGGTCCCTCTCCAATTGTGAGAGCACAAAATGTAATTTGAACAACTATATTTTACTTCATTTAATTCCCTCCCGTTGAGTCTTATATTTAAGGTTATAAGGTATTAGCACCCATTATCCTTCATAGAATCCAAATCTTAACTAAACCACCCTATTTTTAAATTTAGTTAAATTTTGAATTACTACCTTTCACCTCATTCAATCCCCTCTCATGAAGTCTTATATTTGAGGTATTAACTCTCATTCACTCTCATTGAATCCCATATTTAAACTATTTTTTGTCACCAATAAATTCTATCAACTAGATCTATATACAATACTTTTAATAGTATAAAACAATGTTTTTTAAAATTGACCCAAAAATAAAACCGTTCTTCCATCCTGATAGTAGGCAAGTCAAATGAGTCAACCCATGATGTCATAGTTAAAAAATAATACTTTTAAAAAATAAATAAATAAATTGTATAAAAAACAGGGCACATGTATAATATTTTATATTAATCATACTAAAGAAACATGAGTTGATAGATATTAATTAAAATTACAAAAACATAAAAATATAAATAAGTGAAAAGAAAAATAAGTGTGATAACAAGAATTGTTTATATTGATGATGGAAATGAAATACAAAATTTAAAACCAATCCAAAAATGAAATTGTTTTCCTATTTGGTGGTTGGTCAAAAGTTTAACCTCTTTGGTCAAATGTGTCAACCCCTGATATAATAATTAAATTATACCAAAAACAAAGATATCATAATTAATAATAAAAACTAAAGAAGAGATAAAACACAAAAGATACAAAAAAACACAGAAATTTTGTAGAAAATATTTAGGCGTATCTCTAATATTTTTATAGTAATCATATTAAAGAAAAATAAGTGTGATAAAGAATAATTGTTTAATTGAAGATGAAAATTGAATACAAAATTAAACCCAAAAAATGGAATTGATTACTTGTTTAGTAAATAGTCAACAGTTCAACATTTTGGGTCAACTGTGTCCACCCTTGATGTCATAATTAAATAATGAAAATAAAAAGATAAAAACACAAATTATGAAAAATGCAAAAATTTTGTAAAAAAACATTTGGGCACATCTCTAATATCATATATTCATCATACAAAACACAAAAAAGTCTAACAAATAAGAATTATTTATCAGAAATGTAAAAACATTATAGAAGATTTTGGAAACATATCATTACTATTGTCGTCATCATCATCATCATCATCTAATATTGCCACATGCAAAAGCACATGCACATTTGCTTGTATCATAAATCAGAAGTTTGAAAAGAAAAATCTTCAAGAATAATTTCCAAAAAATTATAAGGTATGAATCCTCAATATCAAACACTCAATAAACTTTTATTGGACACATCTATAAATGCCACATAGAAATCAGAAGGTAGGATACATCAAATAAAGTATTATTTTACCAATTAAAGAAAATTGAAAAGGAAAGGGAAAAAAGAAAGGGCATACATCACCAAAAACAGAAAACTTTTCCTGAATTGCATCTTGCAATCGATCTTCAGCTTCATCTTCTGAAATCTCTGAATACCACATAGAAATTGAGTTAAATTGTACAAGGAGTCCAGACTCCAAAGTATATCATATGAGGAGCTTGACAATGCTCATATAAACAAAATGAAATGATATATCCTAGAAGAAAAAGTACAAAGATGCTAATATGCATTTATCACTATCACCAACATCATCATCATTATTATTATTATTTTGATTGGTAAAGAATGAATTTCATTGCTTATCGATCAAAAACAATATGTATTTAGAAGTGCTGAGCACATGAAATATATAGGCTAACCACTGCTATCCAAGGACTAAAATATCAATATGGTACACCCGATACAAGGAGTATAGTATCAGTATTGGATTGCACAGATACAGGATATGCTACGACTGGAGCTGTATCATTCCAATCGTGCGTATCTGTCCAATACACTGCCATATCAGTGCGTACCATATAGTATCGGCCAATACACACCGATACGAAAGCATATCGACCCCTAGTCTCACTATAAAAATGGAAGTGATGCAACTTGAACCCACGTCGTCCAATGGCTAAAAGCAGGTGCTTCTTTAACTGCCAAGCTAGTTCTTGTTTCATGTCAATATACGCAATAAATAACACTTTATTAACATAAATGTCTACATGCAATCAAAACACACAACATATGATTATTTTCAACAACTCGAACTACAAATTTAAAAGAATAATATTAAAAATTAGTATTTTATAAAACAACAGAAAAAATAATTTATAAAACTCACATATATACCAAAAAATTAATTTTAATTTCAAAAATGTACACAAATAAAGAAGTTAATTAAAATTTTTATAAATTATTAATTAATATTTTAATTTGCATTAAATATCAATGTATTTATTAATTACAAAAATAAAAATATTGTTTAAAAAAATATTTATAAATATAATACAAATTGAATCTATCAAATCCAATAATCTACATTTATATAAAAAATAATTTTTTAAAATTTATAAATAAAAATGTTAATAATGGAATAATTATTTTAGTAATTAAAATTTATGAATTTTCATATGATATGAATCTTCAAAATTTTACTAGATTTGATATATTTTTAAGTTAAGATATATATTTTTATAAATTATTAATTTATATTTTAATTTAGATTTTATAATAACATATTTATTGTTTATAAAAATAAATATATTGTTTACTAAACATTTGAGAATTAATTTTTTAGTTGACTTTTTGGTTAATGTTAAAAAATAAAAATAGAAAAAAAATTGATATAATAATTCAAATATAAAAGTTGTATATGTATTATGCCTTGTACTTCAATGGATAATAAAATAATAATGGCATTTTGCATGTATTAATTTGTATTAATTAATATGTGCCTTGGACTCTTGATTGATGCATTATTAATAAAATTGTATAATATCTATGTGTCCTGCTATACTAATTATAATATATTTCTTCATGTATATACCATTTAAATATACAAATCCTATGAATTTATACATTATTTATAGTTATTTTGACATTAAACTTAATGCTACCAATATGTTTATGGAATTTGTACGCATTTCCTTAGTGTATCTGAGTGCTTCCATATTTTGTGTCTGTATCCATGTGTTTCCCAAGCATATCCATATCCATATCTGTATCTGTATCCAAGTTGTCCAATATGATACCCAATACTAATACTTTAATCCTTGCTGCTATCTAGCCCAATTCCTCTAAAACAAGTTGTCAACTAACATCTATCCCCATAATAATTGCTCTGTATTTACACCTTGTTTAGTCATTGGCTTAGCCAAGTTGCCTTCTGATCATTTAACACAAGAAAATGAGAATATCACCTCACCAGCCACTAGTCTTATTACCCTCATGATATTGGTGTTGCCAAGACCATTGGGTATGGTTTCTTACAAATCCCACTACCAAGAGTCCCTTCCACCGTTATGTTCCTTGGATTCAGTTATCCACCCACCCCCATTTCCATAAACTGCCAAAGATTACTCAAATTGTACAAATCAAAGTTCAACTTAATTTGATTGTGAACCAATGGATGACATTATGTCAGAACATGGGGGTAGGCTGTTAGCGAATGACTAACAAGCTACCATCTTCTAAAAATATAATCTATGGAGAATGGTGCATAAATATTTAGTGTTTTCACCCAATTCACAACTCTCATTGATACATTCTCAATACTAGCCTCCTTGGACCAAGTGTTCTCCTTAAGTTCTAACATTCCTTTATTCCCAATATGTACAAGGACTGCTGCCCTTGTGCATCTCCGCATGATCTTCTCTCTTTTTTCAACAACCTAAAAAAGGAGGTTCGAAAAAGTTTTGCACAACTACTGCATGAATCCACTAACAACCAAAAAGTAAGAAGAACCATGCTGAAATACTAGAGATAAATTGGAAAGAGATTAGTAAATGGCAAGTAGTTGCCCACTTGCATCGCAAAGAAAACAAAAATGTGGATACAAAGACAAATTAGGCATCTTTTTTGGAGAGTCTAAAAGATATTGATTTTCAAATTTATTACTAACAAAATTCCCTAATTTTAGGTTGTACTGTTGCACACCAAATCTATTTCACCAAGAAAGCCCAGAAAAGGTTAGGTGAGGATGAGAGCACTCTAAAGAAGGAAGAACACACGAAAAAGCCTAGGTATCGAGAGTCCAGATCCTACAAGCATCCATTATTAAAGGAAATGGAGCATACTTCAGACCACAGAGTCTGAAAGGGGTTTGATTGTTTTTTTCTCTTTTTACCTTTTGGTGTCTTGTCTACTGGGTCATGTCAAAAGGATGGTTGAATTGGCTCAGTAAGGATATTTTCTTTTGAAGTAATTTTATGAACGTGCTGCTGCTTTAGTGTTCTTTTTGTGGGTGGAGGGGGAGTCTTATCCATGGGTTTTTTATACACCTGAGGCATTTTAGCCTCTCTGGGCATTAAGCACTAGGAATTTTTTTTTTTTTTCTGTCTTGCTTGCCATAAGTACCCTTTTTATTTGTTTCATGAAGATGAGAAATGCACAAGAAAACTGAGAAGTTATACCTGCCACTGCACCAATGGTTTTCTCTACGTTTGGTAAACTTAGTTCTGTACGCACACCTTCTCCACCAACTGCAGGACCCCAAGAGAAAGGGCCTGCACTCAAATCAATAAATGCCCACCTGCCATATAATATATGTAATAGCTAAGATTTAAAGAAGTAGATAATAAGGGTACAAGTACAGTTCACACGCAAATATATCCCTATTTACCGAAACACAGATCCACCTTATCAATCTATACATCTATGTTTCCATGCATAAATAAGGATATTGATGTATGCAAGCACGATCCACCTTATCATCCATCCATTAAGACAGATACACATCATGCATTCATACATCCATATGTACATACAAAATCAGTAAAGAAAAAGAACCTCTCTGCTCCTATCCATGTGTCCGTGAGGCATTCTGAATGAAGTCCAGCTAATTCCCCAGATTTCAACTCCTTCTCCAGAAGAATTTTCATATCTTCATTCTTCCCATTCAACAACTAGAAAAGAACAGAAAAAAGGTTAAGTAAAATGAATGAAACAATCTTTTCACTTTCCAAATTCACTATCTCTTAGAAGGCTGACAGTTTGATAGGCTAAAAGAAGAAATGAATGAAATGATCAATTACCTGTGCAACTTTGATATTAATTATCTCAGCAGTCTCCTTTCCTTGATATAACTTCTCAGCATTATTAAGAAAATCTAGGCAAAAATTTGACCACTCAACCTGACACAATAAAACACAACAGCCTTTGGAACTAATAATAATTCAGGTTACCATATGGCCTTGATGCTACAATAAAAAATTACATTAAATTTCTAAATATGTTACTTTGGTAAAATAAAGAGGTTAGCATGGTTTAAGGATCTACACATTCCCTAATATTTCAATACAATATTTCCGTTTCCATTGATCCCAACAAAAAATATTACTTAATTATATCACAACATAATGTTTTTTTATCAATAACAAAAGCTTTATTATTCTGCAACTAATAGAGATGATGGCCAGGGAAGTGGGGTGGAACTGTGAAATGTATGGCTCTGGAGAAATTTGAATGACTAGGGGGTTTACCTTAGTTTTTCTGTCCCAAACAAGTGAACATCAGAATCCCAGGACAAACCCCCAAACAAAATATCAAACTGTAGAACATACCAATGGCCAACCACTTTGGTGGATGAAGATGGGTTTTAATAGGGAAGCTTGCTTGAAGCCTAAGATGGAAAAGACGAAGGGTTCTCAATGGCTGGTAAATGGAGAAGAATGGTTACAGCAGAGAGAAAAGAGTTCTTGATGGAAGAGATAGTATAGCAGAAGAAGCTTACGATAAAGATAAGGGAAGAAAGAAGAGGAACGATACTGTTAGTGGGTTAAGCTGTATCATGGTTTCAGAGCTTCCTGGACGGAGCAGTACATGTAAGTTGGTGTAGGGCCTGGAACAGTACCATTAGGCAGTTAAGGAGGGAATATTTTGCTGAGAGAAGGAGAAACTCCAACGGATGGTTCATTGTTTTGGAAGAAAGATTTGAGCAAGGAAAAAAAGAAAGGATCATAAAACCATAAGGCAACAAGCTGCAAAGTTGGAATATGATTGCAAACGAGCTACACCGAAGAATGGTTGAGAGAAAGAATGAAGCGGCAAGGGTACCAGAAATAATGGCACCAGTACTGGGAAAGGAGGAAATGACAGAGAGAAGGAAAAAATTGGAGAGGTTGGGCTTAGAAGAAAATGATGAAACTCCAGACTCAATGGTGGTGTCTCTTACAACACCAGAACCAAGGATCAAATTGGAGGGGGAGAAAGGAAGTTTGGAGCGGAGGTTAATCCTGTCGGCAAAGAAAGAAGTAAACGACTGGAAAAGATTACTAGAGGAGGTGACATCCAAGCTTGGGACTCGCCAAGTTGTTATATTAATCCCTTTTAGTGACAGAAAAGCTGTAATAGATGTGGGGGGGAGGGAGATGATGGACTTCACAACCATAGAAACAATTGAGGGTACTGTAACAATAGAGAACTGGTGCCCTTCGGCTAATGCAGTAATAACTGGCGATGGGAGTTTCAAGTTGAAGCTTCTGGGCTTGCCTTTCCATTTATGGCAAAAAACCATCCTCCAAAAAATAGCGACAGCCATGGGTGGTGCACTTGAGAGCAGTGAATATGAAGGTCGCCAGTGTGAAACCTGAAGCTGTACCAAGAACTCTCAACCTCTATGCTGACAGTTACTGGTACAAAATCTGGATCGCCTCGGAGGTGGAAGCGTCGCTCTGGTATGGAAGGTTGAAGCTTGAAGATGATGGTGACGTGGCAAGGTGGGTTACACTTGGCGAAGAACAGGGACTGAAAGATGGACACATGAGCAGACTTGGGAAGGAAGACTCCCCCACTTTGGAAGTTGAACGGCCAGAACTCAACAGTCGCCCAATTAAAGAAAAAAATATAGATCTTTTTGAACCAAAAAACACAGAGGGCCAATCTTTCGCAGAAGTAGTCAAAAGGACAATCCGGTCGGACCATGGTCTGGGCCCACCCAAAGGAGAGAAAAATGTCTTTAGTTCCCGATCTGACCCAATTGGTTTCTTACTGGGTCAAACAAGGTCCAATTGGAAGAAAGGACCTTTTGTTTTACTCGACTCATGTGATACTTTAAAAGGTCACGTGAGTCGGGTCCCTTTGGGTACGACTGGAGACCATATTGGTGCTCTATCATTGTCCTCACAGGAACTGCAAATGAATGATTCACGAAACCGCCAAAGTCACAGAAATGAGTTGAAGTTAAACTTTCAGTGGGCTCAAGTCTCCAAATCCGAAGTAGGGAACCAAGATAAATTGGGAGAAAATCGTCCAAACCCTAGGTATTCCAGAGGTTGGAGAGAGGAGTACGAAGAGGAGGACATTGGGTGAGTTCACTGCGAATCCTCAGATGATGACTACGAATCAGATTCAGAGACAGATAGCGACAGTTTTGGGGAAGATACAAAGGAGAAAGAGGAAGTGGAGGACTTGCTTAGTGCAGCTGTCGAACTGTTCGTTGGGGAAAGGAACGTGATAACTTCTACTTCAAAATTTCCTAATAATGTTGGAATGCTAAGAGAAGCAGAGTACACTTGGGTGGGTAAAGGGGAAAACTGTGTAATGGAAAGAGGAACACCAAGTCAGGAATTGAATAGTGGGCAGGGAACTTGTAAGATGATAACAGTCAATCTTCAAACTTCGGATAAAGGTATCACAGGAGGGGATAAACGACAGAGCGATGGAATTAATTGTGAGTGTGAATCAGGCTCAGGAAGCTCCTTGCCAAAATCTATTCTGGGAGTGAATTATGAAACCCAGACCCTTGCTGAACCTACTTCAAACTCAGTTCCAGGTATGTCTGTGCTTTTGGGTTTTGATACTAATTCTAGCTCTGGTCTTGCTGTTTGTACTCCAAGTTCCAGATCTGCTTCCTTGCCGATTGCCCATGATAAAGTTGAGACACAAGAGAAAGAGCAGATAGAGGAGAAAGTGTGGAGCATTATAGTGGAAGAGCTTAATGAATTGGCAAAGGAAGCCGTAGAGAAGAAGGAAAATGAGAGTGAGGACAGAGGGAATAAAGTAACTGGAGAAGAGGTGGAATATAGAAAGAGTGAGGGGACCAAAGAGAAGGAATTAGAGAAGATTGAAAAAGAAGAAGCAAAAGAAGGTTCGTTGGCTGAATTTGTGGGAAAATTGGGTTGTAAAATAAAAAATCTGAATCAACTGAAAGCATACCTGAAGAACAGAAAAGAAGAAGGGAAGGTGAGAAAAAGAAAGATGAGAGAAGCTAAAAGGTTGAAGCTAGATGTGGAAGGGGATAAAAAAAGTCAGTGAAAGAAAGGGAACGGGAAGGAAAGGAGGAAGATAGGAAGAAAGGAGATTAGGGGCAGATCAAGAAGGCAGTATGAAGATTGTGAATTGGAATGTGAGAGGCTTGGGGAATGTAAGAAAGAGGTGTTAATAAAGGAGCTATTAAGAAAAGAAAATTCAGATATACTCCTAATTCAGGAGTCTAACCTCATGGCATTTAATAGTAGGTGGGTCAGAAGTGCATTGAGAGCAAATGGCATTAGTTGGGCAATGAGCCCCTCCTGGGGATCTTCTAGAGGAATAGTGACATTGTGGAAAAATGAAGTTGTAGAAGGAGTTGAAGAATTGGTTGGAAAATTTTCAGTTTCTGTCAAATTCAAGCAGGTGGTTGATGGTTTTGAATGGGTTTTAACTAATGTATATGGCCCCAATGGATACAAGCAGAGGAATGAGTTGTGGGAAGATCTAGGAGAAATAAGAGGATTATGGGAAGGTCCTTGGTGTTTAGGAGGGGATTTTAATGTAATTAGATTCACTGAGGAGTGTAACAAGGTGCGGCAAAGAAATACTACAAGTATGAGGAAATTCAATGAGTTTATCAATATGTTTGAGCTCAAAGAACTGAATCTGTCGCATAATTGTTTGACATGGTCCAATCTCCAAGCTGAACCAATTTGTTCAAAATTAGACAGATTTCTTTTTACTGCTGATTGGAAAGAACATTGGGGAGATTTGATGTCAAGGACATTGCTTAGAGTCACATTTGATCATTGGCCAGTTTTGATTAATAAGGTGGAGTCTAGGAATAGAGAACCTATACCATTCAGATTTGAGAATGTGTGGCTGTCCCATCCAGGCTTTAAGGAGAAAGTGAAGGAATGGTGGGTAGCAAGTAATCCAAGGGCCAATTGGGAGGGTATGAAATTTCAATGGAAGCTTAAAGAGTTGAAAAATAAAATCAAAGAATGGAATATTCTTCAATTTGGGAGGCTAGAGGAAAGAAAACAACAGTTGATTAACAGATTGAGGAGTTAGATGCAAAAGAAGAACTAGGATTGTTTGGGGAAAGGGACAAAGAGCTTAGGTGGGAGCTGAGGAAAAACCTGGAGGATGTCATCTTCAAAGAAGAAATTAGCTGGAGGCAAAAGTCTAGACACAAGTGGGTAAAGGAAGGAGATAAGAACACAAAATTCTTTCATTCTATAGCCAATGGTAGGAGAAAGAAGAACTGGATCTCCAAGCTAGTGATTAATGATGCAACAATGACCCAGCAGAATGAGATTGAAGGGGCCTTTGTGGACCATTTTAAATCAATCTATAGAAGGCCTATGTCTAGCAGATTACACATTGAGGGTTTGGAGTGGCCTAGACTCCCGAAAGAATCAAGGGTGTGGTTGGAGAGAAGCTTTGAATTGGAAGAAATAAGGGTAGCCATATTTTCCATGAATAGATCTAAAGCACCTGGTCCTAATGGCTTTTCGATGGCTTTTTATCAAGACTACTGGGAGGTACTTAAGGAGGATATTCAAAGAGTGTTTTCTGAATTCTTTGAAAGAGGGGTCATCAATCCAGGTCTAAACTCTACCTTCCTGGCTCTGATTCCAAAAAAGGGAGATGCTTGTCACCCCAAAGAGTTTAAACCCATTAGTTTGGTACACAACCTTTATAAAATCATTGCTAAGGTGTTATCTCGGAGGATTAGAGAGGTGCTACCCTTAATAATTTCCCCAAATCAGGGTGCCTGTGTGAAGAATAGACAAATTGTGGATCAAATCCTAATTGCAAATGAGTGTGAAAGATTTCAAAAGAAGTGGAAAGAAAGGGTTAGTGTGCAAATTGGATCTCGAAAAGGCACATGACTTGGTGGATTGGCCATTCCTATTGGAAGTCTTAGAGTCTTTTG